CCGCATGTTTGGTTTCACCCTTTTACAATTAACGCTATGTTTTCTTTTTTTTGTTTTTGTTTTTATTTGTTTTATTCTGACGGAAATTAGTGGGAGACTTTATGATGGGCAACTCTTAAAGTCCTTTGGGTTTGAATTGTCTTATTGTTCGCCTTCTGTCTTGCTTCGCCGTGCCCTTGTATGATATTTTCTTGTTGCTCTGCCTGCCTTTAAGGCATCGAGTACTTTGGAAATGGTCATTAGGCTGTACATTTTTATACATATTTACATGTTTTACGTGTTTTATTTAGTTTGTCTAATGTAATTATGACCATAGCACTTGGCGGGGATTAATTTTATATATATTTTCGTGTCATTCAGGAACATATTTGGGCTAAGAGTGAGGTTTGGCGCGTCTAAAAACGGTTTTAACTCCCCGGTGTTTTAACTACCACTGACCGTTCCAAGGCGGTACCCCTCTGTGTTCCTTGCTTTGGATGTTTACATGTTTTGTGATGTTTTCTTTGAATTCCTGGTCAGTTACTTATTTTTTAGCATTTAGTGATTGTCCGTGCTCTGTCTTGTGCCCTGTCCTGTTTTTGTTTGGGGTCCGCCTGGGCTCCTTGCCACTGGTTCTTGTTGCTGGGTCGTATGGGGGTTGCGTTCGTTTAACGCCGCCTTTCCTTGTTGATCTAAAAGGGGCAAATCAAATTCATATGATTTGGTGATCATCCATCAATTAGTTGTGTAGAAGGAGACGTTTAAAGGTATTTCTATATTAAGCTTTAGCGGCCCTACAAGGGGCTTATCAAATTAATATGAACAAACTTGATAAAAGACTACCTAAGAATGCGACAGAAAAATTTTGGTAATAATCTATCCATTATTTCAGTAAGTGATGATGTTCATAGTTTTTTCCTATTTTGAGCTTGAGAGGCCCCTTAATGAGGCCAATTAAATTAATAGGAATCAACTTGATAAAAGACTATCTAACAATGCTACAGACAATCCATCAATTAGTTCTGTAGAAGCAGACACTTAAAGGTATTTCTATTTTTGGCAAATTCATATGTTGAAATTTGATAGAAGACTACCCAAGAATGCTACAAACAAATTTTGTTGATCATCCAACAATTAGTTCTGTAGAAGAAGATGTCTAAAGGTTTTTCTATTTCTAGCTCTAAAGACCCCTGAAAGGAGCCAATCAAATTAATATAAGCAAACTTGATAAAAGATTACCAAAGTATATTACAGACAAAGCTTGGTGATTATCCATCAATTAGTTCTGTAGTGAAACATGATTAAAAGTTTTTCTATGTTTAGCTCTGTTGACCCCTAAAACGGGCCAATTGAAATGACATGAGCAAATTTAAGTGTGACTGTCACCAGGATGCTACAGTCCAAATTTGAGGTAAATCTGCTCAGCAGTAACAGAGAAGAAGACGATTGTTGACGCATAACGACGGACGCCGGAGTATCCCCCTTTGAAACTAATAGCTGACCCCGAACCTTCGGTTCTGGAGAGCTAAAAAGGTTTGGAAAGTGTTGACTGCATTAAAAGTATGTGTATTTGTTGTGTGATTGAAAACAACAATTGTCAGTGTTTGAAAACAACAGTTGTAAATATATTATAGTGCAGGGAACAGGACCGATATTGCCAACAAGTGTGTGTTCAAAGGTAGCATACATGTTAAATGAAAGGCAGCTTTCTAGTTTGCTTTAACATTACTATCCCATATATCTGTAATGAATTTGTTCACCTTTAAAGCTGGGCGAAATCATTCATTCTTTTTAGAAAAAACAGAATATGCCTTGACTGAATATTAAATAGCTCACCCTTTGCATGGGTAGATTCAGCAGCTGCCAGCAGGGCGAAGGTAATTCTACTTTATTACGATTCATGCTGGTAATATTGTTTGTAATGCAAATCTTCCATAAGTTAATTAGAACATGAATTATAAAGTAAATATTAACCAATGAAAATGTTCGTGCAGTTATAACTTTGTTTTTCAGGGAACTAAAGCTGATGCGGCAAAACTCAGCAGTACACTAGCATTGCTTAGTGTTCATGATGCAAGTAATGAAGATGATGATAACCCGTCTGGTACAGTGACGCCTAAGGTATTTAGACATTTTTTAGTTTGTTCCCGGTAATTCAGCATCATCAGCCTCAATGAAAATTACGAATTTATGATTTATATAGGAGTTACTATAAACGAAATAAACAAAACTTATTGAATAATATGGGGATAATGTGAACAAAATTGTAATTTAAAGCAAAATAATATTATACTCACGTAATGATAACATTGATTCATTAGAAGTCTCCCTGAAGGGATGAGTGCGGCAGACAGTGTCATAGATTTGCCTTATAGTTATTTTAAAAAATTGGCTTCTGCTCTGTGTGTCATAGAATTTAATTATGTACATTTAGTAAATCTAATACGACAATTACCATCTGAAGCTTCAAAGGCAAGAGCGTGGATACTTGGTAAAAGCATTGTATACCTCTACAAAGTTTGTTTAAATTAAATTTATCAAAAAGCCTCGCCTTTTGGGGTCATGAGTATTCTTTAAATACAATAAAAAACAAGAAATAAATATTTCCTGTAACGCAGAGCTTCGTCTTGTAGATCCGTTTGGTCACAATTGGCCCTGCTCCAAGAAATATAGTGACCCATTTTTTGTTATTTGATATACAACTTTAAAATTGTGGACCATGTGCACATTTTGAGATAAAGAATTGAAATTTGATATGAGCTATGAATATAGGATCACGTGCAAGTTTTAAACGTATTCAAATTTGATATAATCTAATCATTGTTTTCACTTACTTACCTACTTTCTTAGTTTCTTTAGCTCGACATTTTAGAAAAAAACAGAGGTATTTTAAGAGTTAAGACGGCGTTGCATTTGCTGTTGAGGTCGCAAACTTTAACCTTAATCATAACTTTTAAAGTTGGCTGTGTATTGACTTCATAGCTGGTCACAGCATACATTGAGACAATGGCTTTATATAGATTAGGCTTTACTTGACCTTAATACAAAAGTGACCTTGACCTTTAAGGTCAAATGTCGAAATTTTGCTTGATTTTTGGAATTATTGTTATATTCTTGTTATTTTTGAATGGATTGTCTTCAAACTTGCACAATTATTTTTAGGATAGACCTTTAAGTTACCAGAAAAATCTTGACCTACACTCATTAACGACCTTGCCTTTTACACACACATGAGCTTTATCTTAAAGATCAAATTATTGAAATTTTCATAAGCTTGACATTTGAAAACATAAATAAAAAGAGAGGTATTACAGTCATGTCGACGTTCCCATTTCTGTTGTTGTCAGCAAACTTTAACGTTCAACATAACTTTTAAGGTTCTTAGCGTATTGTCTTCATACCTGTCCTCAACAACCCTTGGGACAAACCGTTAAGTTGGCCTGACTAATCTTGACCTTCATTCATAAATGATCTTTACCTTCAATGGCAAATATCTATTGGTGGTTTTCACTAGGTTCTTTTTGAATGGATTTCACACTTGAACATACACATCTTTAAAGATAGACCTTAAAGTTAACCAGCAGACCTTGACCTTTACTTATTAATGACCTTGACCTTGAAGTTTAAACTATTAAAATTTGTTTTCTTTTTTGCTGCAACTAGCTATAACCTTGTTTTTCATGAATGGATTAGTTTTATATTATAACAGCACATTTTTTAGGAAAAATATCTGGAAAAAAGTGATTCCTGGGAAGCATTAAAACCAGCAAAATTACATGAAAATGGCATTGAGTCTGCACATGAGGGATAATGAAAGAGTGTAACATCCTTCACGCCCCTAGCACCTGCTAGAGCAGTACACAATAATCAAACTTTAAAAGTCCTGGACTCAATAATCCGAGAGGACCAGACAAATATAACTCAACTGAAGTTAAGAACGGGGCAACATTTTCGGCTGCCACACAGCACTTGACATCTGTTGTTGTGATAAAATATAGTGAAATAAAGAATCCCTAAAGTAAGCCCAACAAGACAAAAAGAAAAATGTTAAAAAAGTAATGGAAAGTGCAAGTTACCGTCCACACCCCCTAGCACCGGGTTAAGAAGAATTCAACGTTTAACATGAACTGGTACAATTTTGAATTTTGAAACATCCGCAGATATGTTCATATGGCGTTATAAGCCATTTATGTATATAAAACTCAAATTGACCTTGGCTCATTTATGACCTAGGCCTTGTATGTTTTATTATTAAATTTTCACAGATTTATACAATAATTAACTGTAACGCGGTAATTAATGAGTGCATTAACTATATAATTTCGACAAAAGAACATTTTGGTAAACGACCTCCTAAAGGGTTGAAATAGCCTTGATTTTATAAATACTTCTTCTTCTTGTTACCAAGCATATTGAATAGTTTCGATGTGACCCTTACCTTAAATTAACATGGACTCTTGTGTTTTTGTTTTTTTTTGTTTTTTTTTGTGTTTCTGTTTTGCTGTAAATGACTATTGTTTTTTAATAAATAATCTTCATACTTAGCCAAAACAACCTTTTGGACAACATCGTCATATTACAAAACAAACATATTGAATAATTTAGATGTGACCTCGACCTTTTTTTGACCCTGACTGTTTTTATCCTTTTAATGAAATTCTCTTGCCTTAAGCTCACATGAGCAAAACGAGCTATTATGATCCTCTACTGTCAATCGTTCGTCCGATTACTTCAATAACATCTAATCTGAAACAAATGACTGCATAGTTACAAAACTGAAACAAATGATTGCACAGTCACAAAACTTTACAGGAATGAATCTTTGGGGGTCCCATTTTCAAAGTTGTTTAAATTTTTCCAGTCAGTTGCATAAGTAGGTCATGGGGTCAGAAAGGATTTTCAAAAATAAAATTTGAAAAATCTTCTTGCCTGAAAGAACAAGAATCAGAGCTTAGTATATTATTATTTATAGATTCACTACCATTTCTTTTCAAATTGTGTCACTAGTGTAAAAATTGGTTCCGTTTATGTATGTAGTACAAACTTAAAAATATTTCTCCTGATTTGGCAAAGGCTAGAGGTTAGACTTTTTGGCATGAAACATTGTGTAGTAGACCTCTACCAATATTGTTCAAATACTAGACCTTGGGTCAAAATTGGCCTTACCCCGGGGGTCATTGGTTTTAATTACGTTCATATAGAAAAAAAACAAAAACATGACAATTATGTTTTCTGAAAAGGAGAAAGTAAGAGATATGTTTTTAACATGACACATTGTCTGGTGGACATTTATCAAGATTGTTTAAAATAAAGCCATGGGCCTTGCCCCGTCAAGGGGGGAAAAGTAACCTACTTTCTTGTCTTTTGTTATAAAGCCATGAAATTTAGATCATATGCACAGTTTGAGATTTAAAATTAAATCTAATATCAGTTCACTTATATTTTGACAAAATTGACCTACTTTATTGTCATTTGATATACAGGTATGAGATTTGGACATGTATAAAGTTTAGATGTAAAATTAAACGTTGATCAGCTAACAAAGATTGTGATGAAATATAACCTGGATATCAGCTGACCTAAATTTTGATGATGTTACCAACTGTTTTGTCCCTTTATATACAGCAATGAAATTTGGACCATGTGCTCGGTTTGAGATATGAAATTAATTTTTAATATGAGCTGACCTCTATTTTGAAAAGAGACCTACTTTATTGTCCTTTGATGGACAACCATGAAATTTTGACCATGCACGCAGTTTAAAATATAAATTTAGCTGGCCTAGATTTTTACATATGACAACTTTCTTGTCCTTTGACGTTTAGGTCAAGTGAACAGTTTAAGATGAAAAATTGAACACCTAGATTTTGAAGTGAACTCCTTTAGTTTTTCCACATTTTGACCATGTGCACAAGTTTAGGTGTAAATTAATTAAAATTTCATATCAAATGACCTTAATAATGACCTAGTGACCTTCTTGGTTTTGATGTACAGCTATGAAATTCGGACTTATATATAGTATAACTAAAAATACATTTTGCATGAAGTATGGTCTATTGATCAACATCGTTCAAATTCTTATGATAAACACTAGCCTTAATTGTTTGTGATTAATGCTTCCGAGGGATTACTTTGTTTCCAGATTTTATGCTTCACAACAGCAGGTGTCAAGTGCCGAGTGGCAGCTGTAAAAAGTTGCCCCGTACTTCACTTCAGTGTTGTTATATTTTTCTTGTCCTTCGGGATTATTGATGCCAGCACTATTGAGTGTTGAGAATTAAGTACCGCTTAATAAGCCGGTGCTAGGGGCGTTAGGGATGTTGCATTAATTCATTATCTCTCATGTACAGACTCAATCAAAACGAGTCTGCAATTGTTATCTAATTTTGTTGTGATAAATGCTTCCGAGGGTTCACTTTGTTTCCAGATTTTTTTTACTGCTTTCACCTAAATAACAGTCTTTCCTCCGTGAGCGCTTTTGGACCACTTGCCCCTTTGTTTGTTGTTTTTTTTTATGTTTTTTTTTTGTTGTTGTTGTTTTCTTTTTTTTTTTTTTTTTTTTTTTTTTTTCATCAGTGAAAATTTTAGTTTCTATGGTTGCAGAAATTGTACAAATAATGTTTTTCGATATATAACTTACCTCCAGTTATTACTGAGAAATTTGACACCTTCATATAAATATTGTCTGAATTAGCTTAAATAAACGTCATGATAATAATTTCCTACTTTATATGTTTTGCCTTGTAAACAGTAAATTTCAACTTTCATAAAGGTTAAAGTCAACATCATTACCGGTAAAAGTGTGCGTCATTATTTTCCATTAACATATTAATATATGACACGGAAGTGTCACATTGAAGGTTCTATGATAACCGTCGTATGAACACATCTGTGGATGTTTCTAAATTCAAAATTTTATCATTTCATGTTTAAATGAATTATGATTAAGCCGGTGCTAGGGGCGTGGACGGTAGTTTGCACTTGACAGAACCGTCCATGAACAGGCTCAATCAAACCGAGCCTGCAACATTTTTAATTTTGTCTTGTTGGGCTTTCTTTAGGGATTCTTATTTGTTCTATTTTGTTTATAGATTCCGATAACATCATCGACATCTTTAATTTCATCTCAGAGAAACAAATTGAGAAATAAGAGGGAGAATAAGCCACCCTTATATGGTAGGTAAATAAATTGTTCAAATTGGTTTCAGCAGAGAATGATCTGTACTTGAGCAGAGCAAAGAGAGTACCGTTTTAGTAGATTTCGCAAAGAGGGTACCGATAAAGATATGCATCGTGCACTTGTGTCCGGACTGTAACTTGTCATGCATCGAAGGATTTTAATATAATTAGCATAAATGTCTTCAATATCAACACAACTTGTCTTTTTCAAGACCAATGTCCCTACCTCCAAAGTCAAGATCACACTTATTGTTTGAAGGAGAAAAGTATGAAGATACACGTGCATGTCCGTAACTTCGCCATGCATTGAAGGATTTTTAAATAATTAAGCACAAATATCTACCACATCAAGACAATGTGTCGCGGCTAAGGCTCATGTTTGGCCGTCAGTGCGTCCCCACTTACAAAACGTTTGTGTCCGGACTGTAATTTTGTTTAGAATGGAGGGTTTTAAAATAGCTTGGCACACACATCACTACGTTGTGTTGCTTCCAAGAACTAAAGAACTACGTCCTTTCCACAAAGGTCAAGGTCACACTTACATTTTGAAGGATTATTAGAGACTATAGGTTTACGCTTTTGTGTCCGGACTGTAACTTTGCCACACATTGAAGGATTTGAAAAAATAACTTGGCTTAAAAAAACATGTCTACCACATCAAGAGACGTGTAGGTCTAAGACCCATGTCCCTACCAAAAAGGTCAAGATCATACTTAGAGGTTGAAGGTAGAGATTTGTGTCCAAGCTGTACCTTTGTCATGCATGGAAGGATTTTAGAATTACTTGGCACACACATCAAACACATCATGGTAATGTTTTTCATTTAGAACACATGTCCTTAAGTCAAAGCTCAAAGTCACACCTACAGTTTAAAGTTCTCACATTCTCACAAGTAAAATTTAAAGTTACACACATTGAACTGTAATTTTCTCATACACGGAAGAGTTTTATAAAAACGTAGCAAATATGTCTACCACATGAAGGCGTCATGTCGCGTTTAAGACCGTTGTCCTTACTTCCAATGTTATTGTTAAGTTTAGAGGTACTCATTTTCTCAAGAAATGTTTTACGATACACATTCGTGTCCGGACTGTATCTTTGTCATGCATTGAAAAAAAATATAAAATTGGCACAAACGTTTATCAAGTCAAGGCGATGTGTTGTGTATAAGATGCATTTTCCTACCTCCAAGGTCAAGGTAACACTAATATGTGAATGTACCTATGCTTACAAGAAGAGTTTGAAGGTATATAGTAGTTTCCAAACTGTAATATTTTCATGCATTGATGGATCTTAAAATAAATTGGCATAAATGCGTACCACATCAAGATGATGTGTCGCAGCCAATGTCCATGTCCCGAAGTGGTAAATTTGCTATTAACAGCACTTCATTTCAAGACAACAATATTGAGCAATTTGTTACTATCATTCTCTTCTCTTTTCATAATACCTTTCTGCAATGCTTTAAGAAACCATTTTAGGGGCATTCGTCATTTTTGCGTGACAACTCTTGTAAAAAAACTAAAATATCTTAAGACATCATAAGTAATGGGAAAACAGAATAAATGACTCAAGTTTACCAAACATGATGTAAAAACAAATGCACAAAAAACTCCGCTTTGTAAGCAAATAATTTGAGTGCATCGGATATATGGATTTTCAAAACCTGAATAACAATGTTTAGCCTAATTGAAACCGGCTGATCTAGAACAAATAACAGTATCGTTTGTTGGCTTTTGTTATATACTAGAAAGAAATATGCCTGCAAATCTTTTCATTCACATTGGCGACTTGAAAACAAATCGTGTTTTTCAATTCTTAATACATTAAATCCAAATTGTGGATTTTGTTTAAACAATTTGCAAATAAACTGTTTAAGAAGTATGTACATGTACTGGATATTGTCAATTTTCATAAAATAATGTTCTGCTCACAAGTAGATATTATGCTTTAAGTAGAGATGAATGTATATGTCCTTATTGAGAAACTTTAATAGAAGATAAATACCATTTTATATATTTTCTTTTATTTATATAATGAAGTACATTGCAAACATATCCGGGAAAATATAAAATGCTATAGAAAATTTATGTCTTTTCTCTAATTAATGTCTTATGACAAGGAAAGAAGAAACACGGAAATTAACTATTTGCCCTATGCAATAGATAAGAAGCAACGTTATTTATACATTTTCATTGAATTCTTAATAATCAATATTTTAATTAATTAGATATATATATACATATCCGGTTCACTCACTGTCTATGTATATGGGCCGGAGGTCTGAAGACATAAAATCAGAAATTAAATCTGAACATTATGTAACTTAAAATTCCATTGGTAACAAGGGTAGGTTAAACTTAAATATGCAATATAAATAATATTAAATTTACTATCTTTTAATATTATTTATACTATGATAGTATATGAAAATACATTTCAGTCTCTTGGGAACAATGTTTCAAAAGAAGAAGTGAATCTGAAGCAGAGATTTTACTAAAAAGAGAGATTTTTCCGTCTAAAAGTGAACTAAAGAAGGCGTGCCGTGTATTTGGAAGAGATTCAACAATATTTTCAAGTATTTGCTCTAGGATTAGCCAACATATAAGGAAGGGGTCGAAGAATGTCATCAACGTATGGCCGTCGTATAAAGTGGACTGTGAGTCTGTTATATTTGTAGTTATTTTAAGAAAGAAATCCTTATTTTCTGTCTTTAAAGATTATGACTACAATATTAGATGTGAAAACGCATTCAGTACTGAGGGAGACCTTGTTGCTGAATATGAGTCAAAACATGAAGAAATAAATCAGTATGAAAATGAGATTTTTGAAAAGCTTCGAAAATGCATAAACAATAATGCCGACGACCTTCTCAAGAGACATAGTAATATAAATGTTATTTTACCAAGCTTGATTAAGTCTGTTGGATACAAGACGAACGAACACAATATCAAAATAGAACCTTGTATAGCTCTTTATGTGACAGTAAAGGGGTGTATTCCTCTACAGGAAAAGCCCTTTCAAAAGAATATTGATGGCTTTCGAACAGATGTTTTGGAGGGTGAATATGAACCATTTATAAAAGGACCAAATGAATATCATGAATATCTAAGGACTGGTCTGGCAATACATGCTAACGTTTTGGACGGAGATGGTATTTCAGGGGGTACACTTGGGGGATTTATTGACCATTCAATTTATGGACTCTGTGGATTAACATGTGCGCACGTTGTATGTAGTGCTGCGGAGCTGATGGAAGTTAAAGAAAATAAACTTATAAGTTTGAAAAAGAAAGTTTATCAGCCTATTGGTAAACGTTCGTCAGCGTTTGGTGAAGTTGTTTTAGCTGTTTACGATGAAGGAAGTCATTCTATATCTGGAATGGAAGTGGCTCTCGTAAGCATATACAAAAGACAGCCGAAGGATGGAAGCTTTCCAGAGACATTGAAGGATTTTGAAGCAGGTATATTTTGAATAAAATATAGGAATCATATATGAACAAATCTGATTACCTTCTGTGACATCAGTGAACTCAATAGTCGGTTGAAAAAAAGAATAAAACAAAGAATAAGGACTAAATCTGGGGGTCTTAAAGTGGATGAGCGTGATGGTCAAACTTCTTGACCAACAGAAACTTCGTTCTTTACAAATTGTCTTAGCAAGGTGGTCTAAAGTAGGGATTGTACTGTATTTTTGAAAATTGATTTACGCGTGACACGAACCGCATATAAATTCAATTCAATTTTTAGCTCACCAGAGCCGAAGGCTCAGGGTCAGCTTTTAGTATCTAATGGAATGCTCCGGCGTCCCTCGTCCATCGTAATGCGTCAATAATTGTCTTCTTCTCTGAAACTACTGGGAAGATTTACTTCAAATTTGGTCTGTAGCATCCTTGTGACAGTCACACTTGAATATGCTCATGTCATTCCAATTGGCCCCTTTTAGGGGTCAGCAGAGCTTAAAATAGAAAAACCTTTAAACATCTTCCCTTACAGAACTAATTGATGGATGGTCACCAAACTTTGTCTGTAGCATTATAAGTAGTCTTTTATCAAGTTTGCTCATATTTATTAGATTGGCCCGTTTTAGGGTCTCTAGGGCTAAAAAAGAAATACCTTTAAACATCTTTTTCTACAGAACTAATGGATGGATGATCACCACACTTTGTCTGTAGCATTCTTGGGTAGTGGTTTATCAAGTTTGCTCATATGAATTTGATTTGCTCCTTTTAGGGGCCGCTAAAGCTTAAAATAGAAAAACCTTAAAACGTCTATTTCTACAGAACTAATTGATGGATGATCTCCAAACTTTGTCTGTAGCATTCTTAGGTAGTTTTTTTATCAAGTTTGCTAATATTATTTTGATTGGCCCCTTTTAGGGGTCTCTAGGGCTAAAATAGAAAAACCTTTAAACATCTTCTCCTACAGAACTAATTGATTGATGATCACCAAACTTTGTCTGTAGCATACTTGGGTAGTCTTTTATCAAGTTTGCTCATATTAATTTGATTGGCCCCTTTTAGGGGGCGTTTAAGCTAAAAATAGAAATACTGTTAAATGTCTATTTCTAGAGAACTAATGGATGGATGATCACCAAACTTTGTCTGTAGCATTCTTGGGTAGTCTTTTATCAAGTTTGCTAATATTATTCTGATTGGCCGCTTTTAGGGGCCGCAAAAGCTAAAAATCGAAATACCATTAAATGTCTATTTCTACAGATCTAATTGATGGAGGATCACCAAACTTTGTCTGTAGCATTCTTGGGTACTTTTTTATCACGTTTGCTTATATTAATTTGATTGGCCCCTTTTAGGGGCTACTAAAGCTAAAAATAGAAAAAACCTTCGAACATCATTTCCTACTGAAATAATTGATAGATGATCACCAAACTTTGTAGCATTCTTAGGTAGTCTTTTATCAAGTTTGCTCATATTAATTTGATTAGCCCCGTTTAAGCTAAAGGTCATGGCATTTCTTCAAATTATTGTTGAAACATATTCTATGCTCAAGTTTAATATGAGAATATATTGACATATTAACACTGAAAAGCAGTTGTTTCTGGTGAGCGACTCAGGACCATTATGGCCCTCTTGTTTTACTGTGTAATTTACGGCCACCGCCCATACTAATTCATAATAAAGTACAAAATCTCAATGTAGAATGAAGAAAAGTTATCATTCACAAAAAATATTTTGCAATGATCACACTAATTAGTGACATTTTACACGGTGAGATATAAAAACATAAAAACAATCACATTCAAGCACTGTTACAATTTCATTTAAAGTTTAACATACACAGATAAATGCGTGTTTCTTTTTTAAAGCATGATAAAATACATTGTTAATTTTTTTGGCTAGTGTTTATATCAGAACATGACATAAACCTGTAAAAAGACTCAATGTTGTCATCGAAGCATTTGCGATGTGTCGCATAATTATAGCGATTAACCTGCCTGCGTGCGTGCGTGCGTATGTGTGTTGTATAAATATTATAAAGTGAACATAAAGCATCACATTCAAAACCACTTTCAACCAAACTTTCAAGGGTTGTTCGTCCAAAGTTGTTCAAAGAATTTAGTTCCATAAAGAAATTTGGTTGTCATGGAATAACAAGAACATGTTGTGCTTTTTGTTGTCAAGGCCTAGGGCAAAAGGCATTGTCAAGTAGACTTCTACCAAGACTGTTTTTGTTATAGTCATGGGGTCAAGAATGGCATTCTGGGGGTTATGTGTTTCAAAATATATATGTAGTAAAAATGTTTTTAAAAAATCGTTCTTTTTTCAAACCTACAAAGGATACGGCTTAGATATTTAACATGTCTTATTATTGACTCTTTTTGAGATTATACAAATTATAGCTTGAGCCAAATTAGCCCTGCCCTAGGAAGTAATGGCTTTTCTTCAGACCATATTTAAGTGCTGAAAGAAATATTGGAATATCTACATATGTACTTGTTATGCAATTTATCTAAAGAGAGATTCAATAGCTGAGAGATTGTCTAAAGGCAAGACAGATATTTACTTTTAAGACATATTTATGGTTTGAGGTCACGACCTCTTGCAAGAACAGAGATATTGATGAAATGATATGAGCACTTAACAAGAACATTATCAGTCATACTATGTATATAATGATGTATGTAATGATGACTTTTAAATGTATCTTTTATGTCTTAAGAAAATGGAAATGCTAAATTTAGAAGATAATATTGAAGAAAAAGAACTTAAAATATTTCAATTTTAATAGAATAAACACCGATTTTTATCAAGTAAGAATGCTTTTATTTTGAATCAACTAATATAGTTTGGCCGTTTTATGAAAACATTAGAAACATCTGCAAATTACCTTTCATTTGACATGCTGAAATATGATCTTGACCTCCGAATTTACTAGACACTACTGCAATATGGCAACGTTTCATTGTTAAGAAACAAAAACTTACATATTTTCCTACTATTTAGCTTTGTATTAATGCATTGGCAAAGCATATATTTCACATATACAATCTTGTATTTATTTGAAAATGTACTTATTTGAAAGAACAGAGACAAAAGGTAGCTTGACTTGAACAGAAAGTTTCTCTTCCTTTGACAATTTCTTGCCCTTTTTTGGGTCTGTTATTTAATCATTTTGGTCTGTATAATCGTAAACCATAAAACGACTAAATGCCAGAACAATGAAAATGTAAGGGAAAATTCGATTAATAAAAGAAATTTAATAGAAATGATATTTGCTTCGATCTGTTCTAAAACCATTCCTTTTCAGTTATTTATTTACATCACTCAATTTTACCCATAATTTTAATTGATAACAAGGGCAAATCAACATAAATAAACAACATGAAGTTAGTTTTAAAAGACAAAAATGAAAAAATATGTTTATATGCATTCAGGCTCGAACTGAAATAACCTAATGAAATGTAACTGATATGTAGCTGTATACTTATTCTCCATGTAAATAAACCACCGAGTCTAAAATAGAACTGAATAGTTTATGTTACTAAGTGTAGCATATAGTACAATATGATCACATCGTACGCAATATATAATAATAGATACAATACAGGAACACCAACGACTTTTCAAAAGACAACATAAGAGTTATACCGACTTAATTTTTTTTGTTGTTGTTCCTTATTAAATGACTGGCTTATATAAATACATGCGTTAACCATATAAATCATTATTTAATAATCAAACCCTTTACAGTGTGCTTTTCTTTACATGAATTTATTTTTTATTTACATTTCAGGTTTTGATGCAAGTAATCCATTATGTTTCAATTCTGGTGAAGTTTGTGAAACAAATGAAATAAAGCGTAGGACTGAAGTGTACAAGTTTGGAATGAGTTCCGGGATTACAAGAGGAAGCTTTGCCTTACAGGGCGCTGTAGTGCGTAAAAGTCAAATGCAAGGACATTGTCATGGCTTTGGTTTTAGACTAATGAATCAAATTGTAGTTCTTAAAATAGGAGAGAACCCATTTGCAGAGCCTGGAGATTCTGGCGCGTTAGTATTGATTGAAGGCAGACAGGATTCAATAGCAATTGGTATTGTTGAAGGAGGAATGAATGGTCGCGTGTTTGTCACGCCAATATGTGATATTTTAAGAGCCGTTGGTTGTACGGAATTAAAAATGCACCAATTTACGCCGAAATATACGAAACTTTATACTGGCTCGGAAGTAGCAATGGAAGTATGTTAAACCCTGATATTTCAGACTGTTATTATAAAACATTATCTGAATGATCTGATATATTTATTTGTAAATGTACGCTAATTTGATAAATTCATGTTGGTGTTTTTTTATGCTTCAAGATAATCTTCAAAAATAGATAATTGCCTTTATGTGTATAATTATGTGTGTTTTTTTTACCCAACACAAACAAAAACTGTTACATCCTTGTATTGAATCATAGTTCTAAATATGATTATCTTAGAAAAATTTATCTTCCTTTTTAGATTAGAAAAGATACCGATCTATATTTTCTAGGTAATCAACTCACTTGTTCTATTCAAATACGTTATTTATGACACTGATATACTCGACTATGCATTTATTTTATATGATATATTATTCATTTGAATACATTGATCTAATTGACTTCAAGATGAAATCAATTCTTGGTTTGAGATAGAATTATTTTTAAACGAATCTGGCTTAAGATTAATTGAATATTGCTTATTGTATGATTAATTTGATTCATATTTATTATTGTTAGTGTTGTTTTTCAGAAGAATACGTAGCTTTGTGTGTTGATATATGTCTGTTTTTATAACCTTAAATTATAACTTAAGTTATTACAGTTTTAAATATAAAGGAATAAATCTTCTTACCTTAACTGTTTGTTTCGTAGAAATCTTTATTATTTTTATGCCCCCACAATGTGGGTGCATATAGCGTTGCACTTGTCCGTCCGTCCGTCCGTACGTCCCGAAATCTTGTGAACGCAACTCCTCTTAAACCGTATGGCAGATTTTGCTTAAACTTACAGGGATGAACAACCTTAATGTGTAGATGGTAGTAAAGGAAGGAATTTTCGCTGCGACCAAATTTAACAGAATTATGGCCCTTTGTTGATTTTTCACTAGATACTATGTAGAAATTTTGTGAACGCAACTCCTCTTAAACCGGATGGCAGATTTTGCTTAAACTTACAGGGATGAACAACCTTAATGTGTAGATGGTAGTAAAGGAAGGAATTTTTGCTGCAACCAAATTTAACAGAATTATGGCCCTTTGTTGATTTTTTCACTATATACTATGTAGAAAATTTTGTGAACGCAACTCCTCTTAAACCGGATGGCAGATTTTGCTTAAACTTACAGGGATGAACAACCCTAAGGTGTAGATGGTAGTAAAGGAAGGAATTTTTGCTGCGACCAAATTTAACAGAATTATGGCCCTTTGTTGATTTTTTCACTAGATACTATGTAGAAATTTTGTGAATGCAACTCCTCTTAAACCGGATGGCAGATTTTTCTTAAACTTCCAGGGATGAACAACCTTAATGTGTAGATGGTAGTAAAGGAAGGAATATTTGCTGCGACCAAATTTAACAGAATTATGGCCCTTTGTTGATTTTTTCATTATATACTATGTAGAAATTTTGTGAACGCAACTCCTCTTAAACCGGATGGCAGATTTTGCTTAAACTTCCAGGGATTAACAACTTTAATGTGTAGATGGTAGTAAAGGAAGGAATTTTTGCTGCGACCAAATTTAACAGAATTATGGCCCTTTGTTGATTTTTAGTTTTCAACTTGTGGCACATGTAGTCCAAAAATATTTGACCTAGAGTCATAAGATTGACAGAACAGTGACGTGTGGGGGCATCCGTGTCCTATGGACACATTTCTAGTTTTAAACTGAATTGTTATCTGATATTAATTCTAACAAGTTATTTTTTTTACTCATGGCTTATGCGAATACCTTATATATATATAGTGCAGCTTCACTTCATCTACTCAACATTTAACCGAACGTCATTATGCTTTGCTGCCAGTGCCCGCGCAGTCTTACCAAGCTGTAGGCTGACTGACTATATCTTCATTTGAAATCCTCATAAATGATAATAACAGTTTCGAAAGGGATACGTAGGATGGTCCTTGTGAGAAATTCAGCAGTTTTAGTTTTAGTGCCTTGTGTCTTTTTAATCATTTTACATTGTGCATGTGTCTTTTGATATGTATTTAACTTAACTATTATACAAGTGAACCCTTAATCATAGAAATCAAGAAATATTTTAGAAAACTTGTATGCATAGTATACTTGTTTGCAAAAGGCAGTTTAATATAATGTTTTTATTTTGTCACATTATGTCTGGTAAATGTATAGTTGCAATAAGTATGTAAATAGGTTTGAGAGTAATGTTTGATTTTATCAACCTGTCAATTGCATACTGATTGCACTGTCTATGCACACAATATATCAATCTTCGATAAATGTTCGGAAATTTTCGTGAGACGTGAGTAGTAAGATGTGATTAAATTAAAATTTTCAACGAAATAATTACACTGACCATTAAAGCGCAATAGGGTAAACTGCAGTTTTATAATTTCTAAATGTCCTACGTGTTGTAAGATCGAGACCGCGTATGTCCATATTTTTTTCTTATTTATAACTATTTTCAACATTATTGAAGCTATGATGTTTTATGTTGTCTTTTTTGTTTCATAATATGTTTTGCACTTATTTTGGTAAAGACTATTCCTTTTTTAAATAGTATAGTTTAAGAATTAATATTCAAAATGCATTCGGATTAAAATCAATACATGTTATTTCAGTGCCGTAAAACACAATACAAAACGAGACAAATCAGTGTTTCTAAATTGTTTTATATCCGTGTAAATACCTCACTGGGATACGGTTTCTATAGATCTTTATCTTTCAGATATTTAATGTGAAAAAATACTTTTACCTAAGTAACAGTAAACATTTTAGTCACATGATACACTTGAATTAACAGTAAGAATAACTCCCATTGGCAAAAGGAATTTAACATTACAAAAATAGTGAGGGTTCAGTGTTGTTATATTTTTCCGGTTCTTCGGGATCATTGATGCCAGCACTATATTGTGTTGAACGTTGACAACTGAGTACCGCTCAAGCCGGTACCATGTGGCGTGAGGGATGTTGCATTCATTCATTATTCCTCATGTATAGACTCAATAAAACCGAGTCTGGAATTTTCAAGAAATTTTATTGTGATTAATGCTTCCGAGGGATCACTTTGTTTAAAGATAATCTATATCAAGGTCATTGATTATGTATATCATTATTACTAAGACATTTAAAGGGAGACACATGCAAAATTTTCATTTCTTAGTTTTGAATTTGTCATTCCTAATTCTGTAAATGCCCTCAAAATGAACATATAAGACAGTCAAAGCAACAAAACTTTTCTCCATATAAAGAATGAAATGGTGGTTTCCTAACCTGACCCGCGTGGGTCAGGTTAGAGCGCTAGGATTTCACAATAGTTGTCACAGTGAACTCTGGAAACGTTAAAGAATCTGTCAAATGAATGATTTTGACTTGAATCAATCATACAATATCCACAGTATATGTTAATGTAACTTCAAGTATTTGTTCAAGTCACCTGACTTGTTTTAAAACTATTCGGTGATTCTATTGGTGTCTCAATTTTGTTAAACATATATAGAATAGATATATTTATGCTTCAAATCCATCCAAAATATATAGAATTTAAACAGTAATTCATGCTGAGACTTTTAGAAATGTTATTTTAGCGCGAGTTGAGTACAAAAGATACTTTTAACATTTTTGTCATTATTATGCCTAAATATCCCTTTAACATGGGCACCTGCGTTGTAAAGTTTTAATCTATTTACAGTAATAGCGTTTATGCCTAATCTCGAATGTTAATTACTAGATGATGTTTATAACTTATATGCCATTTAAAAAAATTATAGAACGGTGATACGGAGGGGTCGGGTGTTTCAGGTAGCATAAAGTACAAATAGTGTCAGACAGAATCCACTATTTTAAGTGTTTAGCGAAAGAAATTATAACTATTTCGCAAATACGTTACAATAATTGATTGATGAAACACTGTAAAATTTAACGAACTTTAAAATGTGTACTTTTATCCCTAGTATACTTAATGTATAATGCTCAAATATGACTATTACTTTTGCATTTGTAATGTTCGAAAAAGTAAAAAAACAAATCAGAAGTTGTCTGTGTTACCTGAGATAACAACCGTGCCATTGATTTTGATTACTTTAAAAATGTTTGCATCCAGAGCAATTTTCTTTCTTAAAAATAACAATTTGAAAGCAAACTTCATATAATCATTTTAGAAATTGTTTGCATGTGATATATAAAACAGCGTGATGATATTGGTACCTTTGATATATTTATTACAATACCAATGCCATTTTTGAAACGCTTAAAACCCAATATTGCACGACTATTCGTTTACATATTGATATAAAGTCGAAACCACATGATCTAATACATTCACCTTTTTGACTTTTCAACATCGTTATTTTTTTATATTCTTATATGTTTTCTTTATTTTGTGTTTGTCGGGATTTTCCTTACAGGATAACGTAGATGCAGATATATGTTAACTTCCTTGGTTATTTTAAACCGCTGAGTTTTCATGGTGTACAGCTCATTTAGGGAGTTTTTAATTTTGAAATGTGTTTGTATATTTTTAAAAATCTTTAATTATGTGACAAGCGTCTAGAAAATTTAATTCTTGCAAGCTATTTCGGAAAGATAATTGATTTGAACTTTCAATGTTTTCTTAAATTTGTTAATCATAAATTTAGAAAAAGCTCTATCTAGGTTAAATTGTGTTTCATTACACGGTGGCCTGTTGGTCGATGTTTATCTACTTTAGTATTTCTATAGCATGTAAGTAACTTTTTAGACATAAAAATTGGGCTGCATTAGGATATCTACATTTGTTTTATTTCAACACAAACAAACAGTCATATTGTTTATGTATGTATATTTATGTTCACTTGGACCTTTGGCCAACAAAATTCCGAAAAAAAAGTTTTCTCTTGCATGGAAATTGTTGTGTATATATTTTTGCTCATGACCCGTTTTTAGCAATGTTTCTTCTTATTTATTCGTTTGTGTTTGAGAACCGTCTGTGATATTTTATGTGAAACCGGTAATATGTTATACTTTCTTAAACTGATGCATTTTTCCTAACGTGTTGATGAGGTACTAATTAAATGTTGCTTACAAATTCCTTTTGATAATTTCAGAAGACAATATGTAATCATCATACAGTTTTTTAAAACCAAAATGTATGTTTTAACTGGAATAAAATAATCAAATTTACACATGTGTTGTAATCATCTGCACCTGGCATTGAAGATAATAATAATAATAATAATAATAATAATCATAATAATAATAATAATAATAAACTTACATTAATCTTACGGAACGATCAGTTATAATTATGTCTCACTCTGACTTAAAGATATACTATGCTCAAATTTGATTTTTTTAAATATTAATAATTGCTACAAAGGCTCTTGCCAGTCTTGGTATGTATAAAATAAACATGATAAAGTAAATATAATATGTTTTGAACTCTA